AAATACATTTTAAACCAAACAATAAAATAACACAAAAAAGGAAAAACATGTTATACATTTAAGCACTACCAAAAGCAAATATTCACTTACCATGATTTTCGAGTTCGCTTCGTACACCCAGAGCCACGTAAAAATCAAAATATTAATTATACTCAAATGACTTTTTAAAAACCAGGTACTCTTTCTGATCGAACGCTTCGCATATTGAAAATCTGAACCTTTCTTCCTACAAACCCATTCATATCTATCTAAACGGTTTTTACGTTCGACTAAACGCATATCCTTCCTACATACAGGACACTTATAATGGCTACTAAGTAAACCTTCATTTACACACCAGTCAATTAAAGCTCTTTTCCCCTTTCGCTCCAAATCATACAGAAACTTCAAATTAATCTTACTACATTCGGCCATTCTACCGTCTAAAGAATCAAACCAACACACACCACAAAAAGCTTACAAAACATCCCATGATTCAAAATTTCCCAGAAACATGCACCCGATTACGTCACAATAGGGTTTCCTTACCATCCAGCTACTCGGGCTACCATAAATGCAACAACAACCTGGCGATAAATCAAACAACAATTTTGCCATAATACAAAGAGTACCTTAAAGTCTACTCTACCCGTCTACTTTAATGTTTCCCGATTAAAAACTTTCAGCATAGAATATAGAATTGACCTAATTAGTAGTGTAATTTTTTGCTAAACTTTTTAGCTTAGCTTTTGTAGCTGAACTTCTTTTTAATTACTTGAAGAAAATTGCTAAGTAACTTCATGCTGTTTTTCTCTTTGATATATATGTATAGATTTCAACAGATAGTATTTGAATTGAATTGTTTGTTTGCATATTCTGTATAATGAATTACACCTTATTCCTGTTTCATTGACATATGTGAAAACCATGAATGCTTCTCTGCATACCATACAAACAAGGTGAAGTGAGGTAAAGATATTTTTCTCTCTCGGACAGAGGAGGTTGCCTCTAATATAGTTGTATAAAAAATATCTGCTAATAATCTATTTTAAAAACATAATTAAAAGTAAAAAATTGCGGTCTTTATTATTGCTATTAGAAGTACTATAAAAGTAAAGAAATGACTTGCTGGTTCAGTAATGGACCAAAATAGCTTTATCCCAAAAGAGCCTTGATGATTGTATTCCCAATATAGCCTGAACCGATAATAGCTGTTGACCATTCTTATTAAATAACCCCCTTGTCATTTTTTCTCTGTAGCAACGCTTTAAATAATTGTATAGTGCCGCAACTTGATAAATTTTAAAAATATAAGAGTTTGTGAGTAGACAGAAATATTTAAAATAAACTTACAAGGATTTCATAGTTCTCTTAATTAATGCTGCTGTTTATTAACAAAAATAAATAATTCTTATTTCTGATATTCTATATTGAGAGAAGCAGTGCTTAAATTGCGCCGGAGCCCGGCTCCGGTACTTCTCAAATTTAAGATAAATTACAATTTTAGCCGGAGCGCACCGGAGCCCTAAATAAGATGAGCTCCGGTACTTCTTTTTATAAAACTGAACCACAATTTAAAGGGAAAAAAATTTAGAATTCCTTACGTTTTAGTTTAACAATAAGCAGACCTTGCAATACTCTATTTCCCTAGAAATACGAACTCATGAGAACTTGAGACGCTCAAGTGAAGTCCCCTCACTCACATGTGAAAACCTTTTCCTTTAAGAAGAACAATAAATTTGGGAGAATTTGTTTAGGAACGCGTAAATTTCTCGCCATGCCATCATATCTAGTGTATTGTTATAGATGCTTACAGTTAGTTATCCTCTCAGGAAAGAAAATTTGTATTCTTAAATATGCGTTAAGTGACAGCGAGTACAATAAGAGTGAAATGCTGAGATAAACTGCTCAAGCACGTCCTGTACATCGTCTTCCCACAGTATCCACTAATGTAACCAAATACAGGGGGCGAAAAGTGTAACCAGCAACTTTACATTCATCCTTAGGAGTCAGATTCAGGACTCAATTTACCTCTGACACACATCTGCTTGATGGCTATAATTATATCAGCAGAGAGCCGCGATCAAAGAGAACGTTCTCTCTCACCAAGATTCCCACCATTTTTTTGTTTCCACCCACTCATACTCTCATTCTATTTCGCCCTAGAATTTTCATCAGCTATACTTTAAGTATATTTAATTTTTGTGATGATAAAAGAACTCCCCCCCCCTACGATCAGAGCCTAAATTGGGCCGGAGCCCACCTGATCTCGGCTCCAAAGCTTCTTAGTTTGTGTAATAAATCATAATTCTAGCTGGAGCGCACCGGAGTCCTGAATAAGAAGGCTGCGGCACTTCTTTTATGTAAGTGAATAACAATTTCAGTAGAAATTTTATCTCGGAAATTTTATTTTAATAATAAAATTGTATTAAAAATCGCTTATTAAATTTCAATTTATCTCTTTACATTTTGTTTAATTATAATTATTTCAATAAATAATAATTTTTCGAATAATTATCAATTAAGTTATAATTAATTATATAATAATTATTGATTAAATAACAATTTGTAAACATTAATTAATTTGATACTAATTAACTATTTAATTTTAAAATTATTATTGAGTTTAATTGTCATTTTATTTATTTATTTACTCTTGATCCTCTTTGCTGACTGTCCTCCATAGCGCTCCGGCACTTCTAATTTTAGAAATTAACCCCTGGAGAGAAGTACCTTTTTATGCTATACAAATTTTAAACTTTTCTACTCTGCACTGAAAATATTTTATTCAGTTCGAAAAATCATTTATTTTTAGGAATTCCTGTTTTTATCTGTTCATATTTGCGTAACTGACAACCGAATTAAAAAGTGATCTTATAATCTTTATAATAACAAAAACAGCTTTTAACTCTAGAATTTGTGTTCTGAAAAGTAGAACAGCAAAATTTTGTCTCGCAATTCGTACAAAGTTCTAGAGAAAGAATAAAAACAAGGGGACATGGACAGCGCATGGTGAAGAGAAATTTCAAATTACTTACTGACAATATGTTCAAAATGCTATCAGCTTAGCATGGTTTTGCGAAAAAAATTTACCCTTTAATTTTTCGCATAGAACCAACTACATAGTGATCAAAATATAGAGTACAAAAAAAAAAAAAAAAAAAAAAAAAAAAAAAAAAAAAAAAAAAAATCCATTATCAGATAGAGTTTGCTTCGCCCACTGGCAATCTTTAGCTATATACATCCATGCTGTCATTCAGTAAGATATATTGGTAGAATGTATTCCTAATTGATATAATTTTTAAGCTGTTTTCCATAGTTAATGTCTATTCTAAAATCAATTTCTCCTAAGTCCAGAAACGAAATGTTCTGTCTTTTGTTTTTTATTTCGACAATTCAACACGCTCTACGCATTTTGAAATTATTATACTCATAATAATGTTATCAAAAAATTAAAAGCACTATATGCCTTAGCGGGCGAACTTATGAGGGAAATGGCTTCCATTCATGTTACATATGAAGGAAAGTAAGAAAAAAGCCTATGCGGCCAGCTAATTCGGGAACCTCGCATTTTCTGAAATAGTGAAAATTTTAATAAACTGAAAATGGAGTTTTGGAAACATTGCTTATGCAAAATGTGTAAAAAGATAAGTCGATCTTATCCCTTACAAATATATTTTTATTAACTTTACTTCTCAGTCTGTTGAATGGCTTTCTGATTTTATTAGAATTGCTTTCCATAGTTAATTAAATGATTATTTATTTATTTTTTTAACCCAAAGGAGCGTTAGCTCAGAAGGGAGCTAACTCTCGAAACGGCATTTAGCGTTGAATCACTCTAAAAGTTTGAATCACTTTTTAAAATGTTACCATCAAATATTATCAAATTGTAGGTCGATACCATCAAATATTATCAAATCAATCTCATTCTCTAGAAATTTACTTCTAACGGCCTTTTTTATGCTTATGTATTAGTGCAAACATAATTGAACAATTTGGCGGGGTTTTTCTTTTTAAATACCTTTTGCGGCACAGTGTGTCCGGTCTGGACATATCTAAAAATTTCCTTCTGTACGCACAGAAAAATTGAATGAAAAAGGATTTATAGGTTACTCTGAACTTTCTTTACTTATAGTAGATGGCAGCTCAACCCAAACCAGTCCATATATTTTAGCCATGTTTAATTTTTTAAGACCCTCATTTTTCAAAGAAATCTTCCAGGTTTTTTTTTAGGGTATAAAAGGAATAGTTTGAAAAGAAATGTCTATGTTATTTTTTTTCTGTATGCTAATTTCCTTATTCTATATTAATTTTAAATTTTTACCTTGAAATCTTGCCTAAAATCAAACGGCGAACCCTAGGTGTGCCCAGACCGGGTTCACCGACAATCTAGGACAACTGAGAGTCTGTATTCTTCGTTTCTCCGCATTTCATCGATCAGTTCAATTGACACCAACGCTCGTTTCAGCACTCATTTCGAAGCTCTATTCAATCAGTGGGCCCACTTTGGACACACCCACAGAATTAAAACGAATAAGTGCTATATTCACAAAATTTTACTTGTGTGCTCCTCTAGGCCTAATTAGAATGCCTACCTTTTTTTAAATCAAAACTCCGACTTTAAAAGGTAGTGTGCCGGAAAGGGTTAAATGGGGAGTGGAAGAACGATGATATAATAAATAATTTCATACCATACGTATTTTGGTATATATATTTTACGTTTCGATTAGATTATTATCCCAAATTTAATCAATAAATGAGTTAACTAGGGCATCCTATAGATGTCTGCATGTTCAGTTTTATTTGCTTTAAAATTCTGCCTTCATTAAAAAAAAAAAAAAAAGAAAAAGTATTTAAGAGTTTTCGTTTGCATACAAAGACTGATTAAAATAGATTTTTTTAAAGAGAAGTTCGTAGCTTTTCTTTTCTTTGAGAACTCGGCAGGTGCTAAATGATAATTTTATCTGTATCGGTAGGTGCTAAATGATAATCTTATCTGTATTTTTGCTTATCCGAAAGGTTAGCGATCATACTTGATACATTATTCACGCATGCATGAAGCAAATTTTCAAGAATGTGATATTTTTCATCATCGTTTTGAATATTGTCGTTCTGCTGATTATTCAGTGGCCAAGTAAGATTCTCAAAATTCTTATATCACTTCAAGAATTGCAAGTGATAATCTTATGTCTATGAAATATTATTCAATATAAATCATAAAATTCATTTACATTATTCCGTTTCTGTAAACTTAAAAAAAGAACAGATTTTAAATTCTAAAAAGTCCAAAGTATTTCAAAACTATGTACAAAACTGCATATATCATGCCATTATATATATATAACTAGAGTATTTGTTTTCGACTTTGGGATCATGCGATTAAGTATAAAATCACAGGTATTTAAAGTTAGTTCTCATTCTATGAGTGTTTAAAAGATGTGCTGTGGGCTTTATTTTCTTAAATATTGATTTTAGAAACTTCCTGTACAAAATTTCTTAAAAGAAGGCGAATATGTAGAGAAGTCTCTCGACACTATGAATGAACAGGATTCTGTTTCTCTTTTTTTTATTTTATTTTTTTTTTTTTAATTATTATTTCTTTTTTTTTTTTTTTTCTCTCTCTCTCTCTCTTTTTTTTAACCCACCCTTTTATATGAAATTCCACAGAGTAAAAATCTTAATTAGCAAAATATTCATTTGTTTAATTACATAAAAATGGAACCTTCCATAACCTTACGCGGAAAATTAGCGGAGCCATTTGAGAAAACGATTTCTTGATTGAGGTCATTCTTTTATATATAACACAGACTTAAACTCGAGAGCAACTTCGAAAACAAAGCTGCTTTTTTGGAATTAATTTTATAAGCTTTCGTAATTAAATCTGTAGGTGGCCGCTTTCATTTTAGGAAAAACCTTCATGAAGAGCATCTTATCTTACGCAATTTTACGTTTGGAGCACTCTATTAGAATCAAATTTTGGGGGATTATTGCTTATTTTACAAAACCTTTTCAGAAGCAATATTGAGACTGTTTTCATAATATTCTGAACCTTCTGACTTTGTCGAACACCTTGATAGTAAAAACACAAAATTTTATTTTTAAATCAGTAAGTTCAATATTGTTATGCTTGTTATTCAGATACAGTTAAATGTATCACAACTGACAATGTAAATATTTAAAGCATACCGGCAACCAGGGCTACTTTGCATAACAATCAGCACTTTAATCAATAAAATAGCTGAAATTTTGTTTAGTTAGTTTTAATTTTTTGAATAATTGGAAATGATTCCTGAAATTCTGAAGAATAATATTCCTTTTTTAAAAATATTTTCTTACTTTGCTTAATGTTTTAAAAATTAATTATTAATTCTGGGGGCAACATAACCTCATAAAATGAGGCTCCACCGCTGTAAGGAAACTAAAAATAAATTCCGTCTTTTACGCAAAGCTGTCTTTGCGCATTACACAGATAAAGAAAAAAGAAAACTTACTTAAACTGCTTCGAAGTAGATAATTTTTCAAGTTTTAAAAATTAAAAAAATAATAAAAAAATGTACGGTTTTGTGCAGGATCGCCGTTTGATTTTTTACTGCCTTGTGCAAACTCCGCAAATCCAAAATTCTGTCTCTCTTGAATTCCGCCGCCTGCTGCCGTCGCACTGGTTGTACATGTTCTAACGCAGACCCTGGTTTTATGTTACTCTAAATGCCAACTCCTAGGTAAAGTCAGAGACGAATTATATTCGCCGTCTTACCTTTTAAAGTACAACAAGCGCAAACTTAAATGGAGGTTTAAAACAAACCTCTCCATTAACACAAGCCTGACGATTACACAAATTAATACAATTAACAGAAACTGAAAATCCGCTGCTTTCGGGAAATGTAGAGACATTTTCAAACTGAAGCAGGAAATACAAAATATTACAGGTCTAAAATTCGGCTAAATTTTCAAGACGCGAATGTGGTTCGCAAAGGGAAAGCCGATGAACAAATCAAACATCAGGAGAGCGTAAGAGTAGCCCGTCAGCGATACCTGTGAAAGGCAACTAAAAAATTCAGCGCTTAATATTCATTAACTAATTTGCATCCCGTAAGAGTTAACAGTTTAGAGATCTAAGCACGATATAGTACTTGTTACTTGAAGGAGTTTTGATGTAGCTCTTAAGTTTTTAAGTAACAGTTCTTGATATAAAATAAATCAACAACATTAATCTAGAAAGATCTCTATCAGTTATACATCAGAGTGTAAATGCTATGCATAGATGAGAAATGACACAAAATTAAAAAACCCATGCCTTATCTTTAGACGCTGCTAATAAATCTGAAATTAGGAAGTACAAATCATGGAGGTAGGAAAGGGAGGAGGGGCCAACCCGCGCTAAAAGTGAAGCACTGCTTTGAAGCTTGGGTCACCAGATGGGGTGTTCTTTGTTTACATTCAGAAGCTCGCTTGACAAGATTCTGATAGTATTTCGACACACGACAGTTCCATAGAAATCGAAAAAAGGACACTTTCGCATGAAAGAAACATTCATAGTGTGATGGATAATAGCAGTTTGTGCTATTATCCATCACACTATGAATGTTTCTTTCATGCGAAAAGTGTCCCTTTTTCGATTTCTATGGAATAGAAAATAGTGTGATGGATAATAGCAATTTGTGCTATTATCCATCACACTAATGAATCCATCACACTATGAATGAACACTATTTAGTGACATTTACGCAAAAATCACATCTTGGTTATTTTTCGATAACTAACAACAGCGATTTTGATTATGAATTTGTTTTATAAAATTATAAGCTGTTGCACTACAAAAATATAGATTTTAAGAAAAATGTTATGCTTAAAGAATGAAAAATACCTTACGGTACATTTAAAATTGTATACGTCTTCGATACCTTGATAGATTTTCGCTACTTTTATTTTATTTTCCAAACGTCAAAATGTTTTAAAATAAAACAAATTTTTTCACATCCATATATTATTGTAACATGTACCTTTTAAAATTTTTTAGAGGAGAGGCTTTACTGCTGCTCATTTTAAACCCATCGTTTTAATTTTATATATCTGAAAAATAATCACTTTGGGCTTACACGTTTTATAATATCTAAATTATATATGTTAATTATTTGTAATTAGGCACATAGGTAAGATTTTTTTATTAATAGAGTAACGCATGCAAGGGCTATCTGCCCAAAGAGAGAGATGCCATCGTGGAGGAATTTTGAAGAAAAACTGACCTTGAGTGGTATTAAAATAATACTTATAATTTTTTATTCAATTATATTCATATATTTTTTTATGTAAAACTTTCGGGTGTATGCTAAATTAGTGTAAATTACTTTACACGAAAATATATTGAATGCACAAAGAAAGATTTGCACATGCCGGAAATGAAAAAGGAATATGTATGGGTATTTATGCTGTGCTTGCAAAAAGCGTGTATCTGCCTTTGACAAAATACTTAAATATTCATTAAATTATTTATAAATGTATTGGAAATGAAGAATTTATTCACTTATAAACAACTGTGAAGAAATCTAATTTATAATGATTAAATGTTATCTAAATATATAATAACCTTAATATTGAATTGTAAACATAAACTGAATCCTGTTGCAATACGTTATAAAAACTATTTAAGCAAGAATTGTTCGTATTGGAAACAATCTGTTAAGGTATTGTAAAGCAAATGCTATGAGATGCGCACTTAAGAACGTAATAAAGAGTTTTGGAATATGTATTGTTGAAATGAAGAGTAAAAAAAAAAATCTGATAAGTATAATTAAAAGAATTATTCCCCTTACATTTTATAATAACTCAGTTACAAGTTTTAATAATACTTAAAAAAAAAAAAAAAAAAAAAAAAAAAAAAAAACTTATTTTATTCCCTTTCAGATATGTTCAGAGAAGTCAAGTACTATTTAATTTCCTAATAATTCTCTAATTTAAATGAACCGAATAGAGCATTAATTATAAATTGACTTTCGATTTAAATTTTTCGATTTAAAAGAAGCCAAAAATCATGTCATATTTAAGAAGTATTTTAGGAAGAAGCCTATAATAAAAGAAATATGCATAATTTAATATTAAATACAATAAACTTTGATCTTAATTTTTGTACCTTAACCGATAAAATCGAATTACCTTAATTTTTTTTCTAATGTAATTAACGAAAACTTGTGAAAATATCTCATTCAAAATTAAACCATTCTGAGAAAACTGTCCTGTGAAAAGTATAGCATTTAATTCCGTTCAGAATGAAATGTTGTTTAACAAATATGTTGTTTTCACATACTTAGGACTCTGAAGTGTTGTAGAAAAAGAAATATATACATTTATATGTATATTTGCGACGTAATTACAAAATATTTACACCCGAACGCGTCAAATCCCATAGAACTCAATTGTAAATGACCCAATGTTTTGGTCACCACGTAGGGATCGCCGGTGCTTCAGAGCAGGGTACGGGAGAAACTTGTTTAGAGCGACTCCATCTTACTTCCTACCTCCATGGTACAAATAAACTTCTTTTTCCATCCAACAGATCTTCTCTTATCCCCAGAAGAAGCCTTAGAACCATTGACTATTCATGTCAACAGAGGTCGCCTTGGTAACCAGATGTTCACCTACGCGACACTTTATGGACTAGGAAGACTCAATCGAAGGCATGTGAGACTCATGCCGCAAAACTATAATGCTCTTAAGTCATACTTCAAACTCCGTCATTCTCAGGTGATTCATTTATCAGTGTATATTTTAAATTACAATGGAAACTGCTTTGTATACTCACATTTATTTAGTCCTAAATGGATAATGATATTACGAATAATAGATTATTCTCACTAATTATTAAAATAGTAAAAAAATGCGCAAAATTGTAATATATAATTAACCACATCACTTAAATCTTAATGGTTAATAAGAGTTTTCGTTACGTGATTTTTATTTGTTTCTTTAGATAAGTATCGAATATTAAATTGTAATAATGGATACAAAGACATCAACTCTAACTTGTCTGCTACGTGATGTGTGTGTCTGTTCGAATACCCCGCCTAAAATATTCATAAAAAAACCTAAATCGTTTTCTTTATTCCTTCTTCTTCTTTTTTTTTTTTTTTTTCTTTCTTTCTTTCTTTCTTTCCTCCTTTTCTTAATCTGTAAATTTGTTACAGAAATTGTTCTAATTACATTGAGTTCTAGTTATCTGAACTGATTAGGGAAAGGTGATTTTGGCTAATCCATCTCAACTGGTTTCGATAAATAAAAGTATAAATAATTATGCACACAAAAACTTGTATTACATTATATTTACGAAGCAGTATTATTAAAAATAATTATTGTTCTTTCGAGTTGCTTTCTTGTAATGCTTACTAGCCGCTACCTCCCGATCGCTTGTAGAGCGATAAATATCATTTCCCGGACAAAAGAGATTTCACTGTTCCCTGTTTGTTCATACAATGGTCTGAGATAATCTATTTTCATCATAAGCTGTGTATTTAGTTGTAAAGAAAGAAGGTGGCAAAAAGAGGGGGGCTGGACTGAAAGCAAAAATATACCTGGAAATAACTGGTTTTAAAGAAATGTTTCGATTTTATTTTTCTTAACTGCTCCTAAGCACCTAAGCAAGGTTCCGATTAAGCGAAGTTAAGTAAGGTTTAACATTAAGTAGGGGTAATTGGAGAAAGGAAGTTAAAGGCTACTCCCGTATTATTTTCTCTGAAAAAAATTTTGAAATTCAGGCGTAGGAAGAAGCATACAGTCTATCGAAATATTTGTTAAAAAATTATGTAGTGTATATGTTACCGTGAAAGACCGAAATTGGAGAATGTCAACTTTCACCGGAGAATGTCAACATTCACCAAATACGTCGGTGAAAGATCGAATATTTCTTTACATTCTTTGTACATTCGGACCCTCACCGGTGTATGTCGACATCACAGATATGCTCTGGTGTAGGTCGAAAAGAGAGGAGTATATGTACGCTGCCATTCCAAAAGGAAGTGTTCCACAAATAAATGCAGTTGTAAAAGCAAGGGCCTCTTGTGCAATTCAAAGTGTCATAATAGTTTTAAGTTTGTTGCAATAAATAAGATTTGAATCACATAATTTGGTAAGTTTTATAACTTCTATTATTTTCCTTTCTCATTTTGAATGTACTGTGTGTTTTTAAGTTCTTATTCTGAGTCTCAAGTGCGTTTTTTCGCGAATGAATTACGGAGAAGGAAATATAATATTCTTACATGTTCAACATTCACCATTAGTATATGGTGAATGTGGACATTCACCGGTGTAAGTCAGAAATAAGAGTATTTGGAAAATATTTCGGACATACACCAAGCGACTATGTGAATGTTGACATTCACCGGTGAAAGTCGACATTTTCCAGATTTCGGTGTTTCACCGTAACATATACAAGCAGAAGAAACAATAACTATTGAATCTAGAATTTTTACTCATTTCCGATCACTTTCATCAATTCAGCGAAAACTCAGTTATGATTGGAAAACGACTAAGATTACTAATGCGACTGGATGCACCATCGTATTATTGTCATGATGCTGTAACTAATATTCAGATTTTTTAATTAATTCAAATTTACAAATTACGATAAAATTATAGTGTATCAATTCAGAGACGAATTCTTTCGGGCTTAAAAGCATAAAACTGAACGTATCATCATGCGACAAAGTTTGCTTTTGTCATACATTTTTGACGCTTCCAAGAGCTTCTCCTTTAATTAAGATAATATTTCGAAATTAAAACTTCTCCTTTATTAAAATGAAAAGAACATCCGTTTTAACCGAGTAGTCTAGTTCTAACCTTTCGAATCCTTTGTATTCTATGATATTTAAATGCTGAAATCGCGTACATAGTAAAAATCCAAAATACATTGCCTTCAATGAAGAATAAAAGAATGTATTTTGTTCGGGGAGTTTTCATTAAATATATTATGAAATCATACAGTTTTTGAGGAATTACCAATTTGACCATACGTTCTGTTGTGGTGTAAGTTATTAGGACATCTAGCTAGCAGTTGGAATGACCGTGATTCCGTGTCGACATACGGTGTATCCGACACGGAATGTCCGTAATTCAAATCCCCGCAAAGTCTCCGTTGATCTTTCATGTCTCTTGCTTCGAAAAACGCAAAAGTTTCTGCAGTGATGTCCGAACTAAAATGTAGTAGACAATCATTCGTCATCACTTTCTATCTACTTGACTAGGTCTCGTGTTTCTCCCCATTAACCCTTTAATTGGGGAAGAATGTAAGGAATCAAATCATCAAACCCCCTTGACTGCTTTCGTAGTATAAGCGATTAGCTCATCCAGCTAGCCTTTGGATGATACGGGGTTCAAATCTTGCTGAAGGTAGGGTTGATTACTCATCTTTATCGCTCTGAAAAATTTAAATAGTCTCTACAACTTACGCCATGTGAAATTGCCCTTAACCATGTAAATCCTCATTTTCATCTGTTTCAAAGGGGAACTGGCTCGGATATATGTTACACATGGGGATAACCACGAAAACGCCCATGCAGCCAACCCTTTCGTCGGATTTCGAGCTGCGGACCGAACTATCAGTGTTCAGCCACTTTACCGAGCCGCGGGTAGGCCCACCCAATTCAGTGCAAAGTAGCATACATACTACACAAAAAAATGTAACTACCATCTCTACTTATAAGTATCAAAAATAGGTCTGAGTTTCATTTTAAAGATATTTTACATATTTTCATTAAACGCAATTTCTCTCATTGCATACTTTTCTATTTTAATTATTTTCTGAATATTTTTTGTGAATATATAATTAATAATGAAAATTCAGGTTATTGATTACCTGTCAGAGAAGTGTCTGTACCGCAGGCATTTCAGGCCCTGTTCCGCCGATCTTAGTAAGAGAGGTTTCTTGCTCTGGAGTCAAACTACCCTTTTATACTTTTGCATTAAGTCATCTGTTTCTTTTTTGGAGTTCCATAATTAAGTTTATTTCTTTCAGGTCAATGAATTCACTTTTAAGGAAAAACACCCTTGGCCCATTGGGAGTTGGCTTCAACCCCATGACAGTCATATACCCAACACCACAAATATCGTGAAAGGCCGTTTATACCCAACATCATTCACATTTTTCCATCATGTTCAAGACGAAATTCGAGATATCTTTCAATTTCAGGATACCATCCGACACTACGCGCAAAATGTACTACGACATGTGAAACGCTTACGGCCTTGGACTGAAGTTTACATCGGGGTATGTCATTAATACTTTCTTAATAATCACTATTTAAACTAGTAGTAAAGCACTTTAAATATCCCATTTTCATAATTTACGTTATAGATAAGAGTGCGAATTTCTCCTCAAAGGCTAACACAAGTTAAACACTTTTATTACTTTTGGCAAGCTGAGTTTCAAATAGATTTAGATTTCTAAATGAGTTCTAAAATTTTTCTGAAGAGCATAAGATTTATCAAATTGTGGTAAACATTCTAAGATATCGTACGATTTGTATTCTTTACATATATAAAGTAAAAGAAATCGCATAGAAACTGAGAATGCATTAACTGTTAGAAATGATGTTAATAGTTATGTAGAAACCGTTAGTTTTCTTTTGATACATGATTCAGAAATTTCATTAATGAAGAAAAAATAATTGAAAAGTAGTTTCAGATACATGGGATGAGAACTTTCTAAGGTGTCATATGACTAGTAAATCATATATCAATAGCACAGTGTTGGAAACATACAAAAAACATCCATAATGTTATTATTATTATCCTTAATGTTCTTTTTTCTTTCTTCATGCCTTCGTGGTGTAACGATTAGCAAAATCTGCGCGTATTCGAGAGGTCCAGGTTCGAGTCCCGGTGAGAGCACTGCTCATTTTTCATGTCTCCTTCTTCTAAATAACCTAATGACGATACAATGAATTCCTTTTATAGTTTGTACTGCATTATCATCCATATATATAGGACGGAAAGGGTGAAAGCAGAATATTGCTGTCTATCCATATCGATATGGATATGTATTGTGTGTTTACAGTGTTAATCTATTCGATGTAAAATCTGGCAAAATAAAAATAATGTAATAGTTCAGTTTTCCAGAGTTGTCATATTCCATTTACAAAAGAATGTCAATAACGTGTTTGCTGTAATAGTTCCTTCTGTAAAGGAGAATAAAAATTAATTTTCTTTTCTCTGAGTGAAGATAAATGAATAATTCGTCTGACACTCAACATAGTGGTGACACCCGGACGTGCTCTTTGGGAAATGGGGTCAGTTTGTTTTTCTATTCAATTTTTTTTCTTAATTATTGAATTAGTGTTCTCAATAGATGTTTTAGTAAGAAAAAGGAGGCCGATTATGGCTGAATTCACCAAAACATCCAATTACTTAATAGAAAAATAAGGAAAGCAAAAGGCTAATTTTCAAGTTATAAAATTACTATATTAGACCGTTTGTTTATTAAATTAAAAATGGTTGACGCTGATACTTTTTAGAAGCCAAATGACACAAGTTAATATTTCTGGTTTCGCTAGTTCACCGCCAACTTCCGATAAAAGAAAATTGCGTTTTACCTCAAAGTGAGCTGAAATTTTTCGGGGATGACGAAGTAAAAGACTGGCTCACTTTTTGAAACCAGTTCAAAAGTATAAATGAAGATCAAGAGATGGAAAGGAAAAACAAATTTCATTATTTGTTGCAGACTGCTATTAACGGTACGAGAGCTTGGGATATTGTGGAAAGCCTTCCTGTCATTTCGGAGAATTATGAGAAAGTTATTGAATGTTTTAAAAATAGATTTGATAAATAAGATAAATAGATTTGGTTTGATTTTTAAAAATAGATTTTGATTAGTTTTATGTAAGTGAATTGTTTAGTCTCGTAGTAAAAAACGCTACCGGAATTAAGCTAAAATTAAATGTAGCGATTTTATATGATAAATTAGAATCCTATTTAAGAGTATTAGAATTAGTTCGAGTAATTAGTAACAAATATGCCGCCATGCTGTTTCCTTAATCGAATCAGGCATTCCTAAAAAAATATTAGGAGTTTGGTCAAGAAATAACGTAACGATTAATAATCAAGAAAGTTCTTTCTACGAAACGCTTAAGGCAGTTACTTTTGTTTTTGAGAAATGAGGTCGAGAGGGAACAGAGAATTTTGCTTAATAAGTTAGTATTTAAAATGCTTGAATCAATATTATATAAAGAAAAAAATATAAAGAGGAAACGCTTATTCCCACAGCAAATGATTTGTTTTCGAGGAAAGGGATGCAAAATTAAATGAAGTAAATCTGTGCATATTTTGTAATAAATATCATGAAATTAAAGACTGTTTTTTTTTTTTTTAGTATAAATCTAGTTTTAGGATTGGGCATCGTGTGAAGCATTGTAAGTCTAAGGTGTGATGATTAAATTTGTTTCAAAAAGACATTGGGCAATTGTATATCCAGAACTGACAACAAATCAACAAGTTTCTGAAACTGAAAATCCACTGAGTAAAATCCATAGAATCAAATAAATTCAACATGTCATTAGCTCATTCCTATTGTGCTGAAGAAATAGTATTTCTTCAAACTTTATTAGTAAATATGGTAATCAATGGAAAAAATCGCTTTGCTCGAATTTTAATCGATCCGAGCTATCAACGATATTTTAAAAACTAAGTGAAGGTCTGTAGAGACATTAGGTTTTTTTCGAAGCAGGAGATATAAAAAATGAGCAATGCCCTCGCCGGGACTCGAACCACGGACCTCTCGATTGCGCGTCGAGTGTGCTGACCGCTACACATTGAAAGCATGCTAAGAAAGCAGGAGAAATATATTTTATATACTCCCTCTATTAAAGGTCGATTGGGGGATTAGGGGATCCAATCGCCAAATCCTGGTGGTGGAGAATCATCATCGAGCACATTTTTTTTTAGTTCGTACGCAACTGTAGAGACATTAGGATTTTTTGGAAGTAGGTGATGTGAAAAATTAGCAATGTCCTCGCCGAGACTCGAACCACGGACCTCTCGATTACGCGTTGAGTGTGCTGACCACTACACCACGAAAGCATGCTGAGAAGGCGGAAGAAATACCTTATAGGTCAACTACAAATAGTAATTTAGATGGGTGCTGATGAAGCTGGAAAATTAAGCACTAGGAAACTATATAGTCTGTCCCAATGCACTTATTATACAGACTTAGCTCGATTGAGTGATAATGGGGAAATGAGCGGACTTTTCTGCAGTCACAGTCATTCTAAAGAGCTAATATCTCTAGTCACTCAGAGTAAAATTCTGGAATATTTATGAAAATTAGAAACTATTGAAATTGCAGATGCATGTGAAAGTATTTTGAAAAGTGAAACTGGGAAAAAAAAAAAAAAAAAAAAAAAAAGGCCGTTATTAGACATTTTGAGGAAACAGTGAAATCGAATTCTGAAGGAACTACCTTACCTTGAAAACGAAATTACCTTACCATGGGTAAATGATACAAATGATCTAACTATAAACAAACCATAGGCCGAGAAACGATTTAATTCTTAATTTACACCTGAGTTTATCTCATGCTGGGTTACACCGTATTGATGGCAAAGTTGAGGGAAACCTTTTGGATTATGAAAAGTAGGAAAACAATTCGTAAAGTACCAGATGTGTATAGTGCACCAGATGCAAAAGACATGAAGACAAAAGATTACAGTGAGTTCTAGCTATATTACCAGAAAATAGAGTCTGAGACAATCTCGCGTTTGAGATGCTAGGTCTTGATCCCACAGGACCTCTTATACTGAAAATCAAGAAAAAGGCTTTAGTAATTATATTAATCTGTGCAGTACAGAGGAATAACCGACTAAATCTGATAACATCTTTATCTAACCCAAATGTTTTGCTTGGACTCAGCAGATCCATCGCAAGAACAGGATATTGAAAAATAATTTATAGTGACAATGGAAGCAGTTTTGTTGGTTCTTGCAGTCTTCTAAAATCATTTGACTGGAAGGTGAGAGAGGTGACGACATCTATAAGAAGAATTCAGTGGATTTTTGCATCCCCTTGGACGGGTGGATTTTGGAAAAGAATGATTCGGATGGTTAAAAAACTTCTACGCAGAGTCTTAGATTGACATTACTGAAATACAAAGAGTTAATGAGTATTCTTTGAAAATGGGAAGCTACAATAAACTCAAGAGCTTATTCTATTGATATCCGCAATGTTTACGAACGACACTGTTGAAGCGGGTGTGTCATATTAGATCATCTTAATTGGGGAAATCTGAATAAAAAAAATTGGATATCAGCAACGACTGAGAGATATTTTGAAGGAGAGATTTAGAAATGAGTATCTCAATTAACTTTTACAAAGGAAGGAAAACGTTAAGATACAAAAATCGGAGATAAATTCCATGGAGCATGCCTGAGACATTAGCCGTTGATGTGTTGTGTATAGAAATCATCATTCCCGAACATTGCAGGTTCTTCAGTATCACCCTGAGTGATGGAATGAGACATTATGACCCAAATTCTCCTTATCAGTTTAGGGAACAGAATAGATAACAATATTAAGCAGAATAGATAATGAGGGATTGACACCTATCATAGAAGATAATATACTATAATGAGGGATTAATATTCGCTATCATTCCAGGGAGTAGAAACATTTTCCATCCTTAAATTACTCCAACAAGGAGTTTCTTCTTTTTTTATCTTCTTTTTCTATGCTGCGAAACCTGAACCATTTTACGGTTTAAAGAATGTATAATAGCGTCTTTTTCTAAATACATGTTAAGTCAGAAGTCAAACAACAAAAATCAGCGTTAATTTACAAAATTTTCACAGGACTAGTTTCGATGGTTTTACCGAAACATCATCTTCAGCTGCAAAACCGCAAATGCATTGCGGTTTTTGCAGCTGAAGATGATGTTTTCGGTAAAACCATCGAAACTAGTCCTGTGAAAATTTTGTAAATTAACGCTGATTTTTGTTGTTTGACTTCTGAATTAGTATTTATTCGGCGTGTTATTGTGTCTTAATTACATGTTAAGTTTCAATTCTTCAATCAATATCTGTTATTCATTGTTCCGAAATTATGTCTATTCTTTAGCAAATGACAATTAGTGTACCTAATTTTCGCCAATTTTCGTTTGAAAAAGTGAATATATTAAATTTTGCACTTAATCGCTAAGACATGTAAATTTCGCATTTATTCGGGTCTATTTCGTAAATACGAAACTTGCGTATTAGTAATAATGCAACATTCATTTTTCCTAATTTGGTTTTATGTACCATAGTAAAATATCGTATTTAATAAAATATTTTTTCTCTCATGCTAATCAGAAACAAATTAATTTAAATTAGAACCTTGCTCTTATCAAATATTCAGTTATATTTTTATTCTTTAACGTTTATCCTAAATTATGAGGGAGATCTTTTTGATGGAGTGTTTTTTCTGGGGTCTGAGTATGCGATCGGCATGGTCTTATCAACAGGGTAAATGCGGTAAATTTCCAACTCTTAATTAATAATCGTTGTAAACCAAATAAATATAAATTGGAAAAACATGTAAATGTCAAACGGACAAATTAATTTTTAAAAGTACCCACTTCTGTCAGTTTAAGATTTTAGAAACGAAGACAGAAATCTTAAGATTTCACTTATTACAGTTATTCAGTCACTCATCACTTACATATCAAAATGTAAGTAGAAAGAAATGAGTAAGAATTAAGCTTAACGGGAAGCAAAGAAGTTACACTGAAGGTTGTAGGTGTCGTAGCCTGAATACCACATGTTACTGTTAAAAGCAGAATACCTTAGATTTTAACCAAATCATTAAACTGTCTTCCAAAATTTATCAGTAGTTGAACGAAATTGGTAGACATAAGTGCTACTTTACCTTTTAATCTCGCTAACGTCGCAAAGCTATTGTTCTCTGCTCGGAAAAAGGTGAAGTCATGCAAAAAGCTGGTAAGTCGTTCTCCCTGCATATAAAATTTGAGAAGCGTAATATCTGATTTATCTTCGCACTTTTCTTCATGCAATATAATCTAAGCTTGAGGTAAATGGCTTTTAAAAATCCTCTCGAAGAACTTCTGGTCGAAGCAAATCATTATTTTGCTCTTGCAGGTACACGTGCGCAGAGGTGATTATCTGTCAAAGTCAAAAGGTGGATGGCTCCGAGCATTCGAAGGTAGAGAAGTGGATATAGAATACTTTAGAAAAGCTGTTGACTACTTTCGACGCAAATATAGTAATCTCACCTTCATAGCAGTAAGCGATGACCGGCAATGGTGCAAAAAATATCTACCTCAATTCCATATTCTGACTCTCCCCTTTTCTCCTAGTCCGGCTCATGACCTGGCTATCATGGCTGAATGCAATCATACTATCATAACTTACGGCACTTTCAGTTTCTGGAGTGGATATCTGGCTGGAGGTGAGGTTATCTATTTTTCAAATTTCGTAAATCCGAAAAGACGCAGCAACTTTCCAGAAGAGAAAATGTACCCTCCAAAATGGATAGGGATCTCTACTACACCGAAAGGATTCTGGGATTCATATAAAAATCCATTTCTTGATCATGATGGAAACAATGTAAGCGTCTCAAAAGAAATCATACTGTAGCTCAAAAACGAAACATTGAAATCTAAAACAAATATTTTAAATATAAAATTCACTTGAGCTTGGCAACATTATTTCTACTAATTCAGAAATGCTAAAACTTGAAGTCTTTAGCACAGATTATGAAAAGAAACTTTGTTCAGAATAGAAAACGATATTAAACTGCTATAATGCATTGAAACCACAGTGGGAGAAAAACAGAGGTTCTTGGAAACCGTAAAAGGCAAAAAGTGCAACAGCCAAAATGCATTACAATCTAGTGTCAAGTCCGCCAAAAAGTATCACAATCCAGTGTCGAGAAATATCGAACTTCATTAATCCTGTGTAGTTTACAACCATTTCTTTTTTCTGCTAATAAATGTTTCACAATTAAATTGTATTTCCAATTAGAAAATTTCTGTTAAAAATAAATATTTTTCAGCTGATCAGGATAAAAAAAAGTTGAATTTTTGGAAGAAATACATTGTATAATAAAAAGATGTTCAGGTAGTTGTGTATTTTCTTATCTTCGAAGAAATAAAATACTAATGGGATGTTTGTGCACTTTTTATTATCATTAAGGTTGCCACATTATTAAGAAAGTTATACAATGAATTTTAAATTATTTTAGCTTTATTTGTCCACATTTCTTCTAGAAGAGCGTTTGTTGCCATATTTACTGATGTCAAACTTAACGGTCTAGCTCGTAGTCATTACTCCAGTTCATCCCAATGGTGTCTATGGGACTGAAGTCTGGGATTTCAGCAGATAATATTTTTACTCAATTGTAACACCATCAAACAAATGTAACCCAACCTACAAATACAGACGGTCTCGTAATCAATTTGAAACAAAAACAGACCTTCAAAAAATTATTGTAACAATGAAGGACCATGGAATTGTCTAAAATAATTAAGACAAGGTCCAGTACGTAACAGTCGAGTTCATGCTTGCTTTTCCATTCAAACTAACACGGTGTGAAAATGCACTTCATTAAAAAGACTTCATACATCATTCAATATGAACTATATTCTAATGAATAGTTTTAATTTTAACTAAGGATTGTTTATAAGTAGTTAGCTGTGTGCGCTATAATTAAAAGCATTTGTTTAACTTCATAGAAATGAATAAGCAGCCTCGAACAGCAGGGAACTTTACTCTCATCGTTGGCCCTCCAAAATGGATAGGGATCTCTACTACACTGAAAGGATTCTGGGATTCATATAAAAATCCATTTCTTGATCAAGATGAAAACAAAGTAAGCGGCTCAAAAGAAATCATACTGTAGCTCGACTGTTACGCACTGGACCTTTTTCATGGTGGCTGCAACCATGAAAAAAAAAACCCAAAATATTACGGTTTTACCAACAAACTCAATATTTGGGTATAATACAGTAGGCAGTAATATTTAAGGTAGTTTTCAATAGATATTCGGTTACCGGTAAAAACATTGCGGGGGAAAAAAAAAAAAAAAAACAAGCAAAGTTATGTTTGTCACTGGGTGTTTTGTAGCTACTGTATTTTTGCAGGATATTTCCTTTAACGACATTTTGAAATTACAAAGTTTTGTACCTTCTCTATTTACTACCATAGTGTTTTGATCTCCTCCATTACAATGTTTTGCGCGACGAGGGAATGTTTCCTTTGCAATGAATGCAACGTTTCCCTCGTGACGATTTTATTGTAATGTTTTCGACAGATACCGTATTCTCATCTTATACATCATAATATATACTGTAAACCATAGAAATGATATACGGTGAGATGTTTTGCGGAAATTTAAAGAAATTTGTATTATAAACTCAGTGATATAAAAACAATGCGAATTAGGAACGGATAAGTCCAGGACAGTCATTAAGAACATCTGGTCATGGCTTGCAAAGACTGGAACGTCAACATTAGCTAGCTATAATGATTGATGAACTCTCACATAGTACCCAAGCCGCATGGAATGAAGTACTCGTATTTATCATACGAACTCGACTTGAAGCCATGCACAGCAGGATTGCCGCCGTTGTTCTGCGTACTGAATTCTGCATGGTGTGTACCCCGGACCACCCTCAATTTAATCATGTCTTCCTCCCATTATACTATGTTAGAGTAAATAGCATTCTATTGCTTCCTTTCCTTCATGATATGGAAATTTTAATGGCTAGCAGTTATAGACTCCTCAATTAATACAGACCTTTTTCTAATCAAGTCGTCCTTATCCAGTAAATAAACGATATTGTTATAAAGTTTATACTAGTCCAGAACTCTCCAGACGTATTCATGCATTTTAAGCAGTTATCAAATGTAACGTAATCATTATATAACAGGTGTTAAATCTTCGAAAACGACAAGCCTGTTTTTAGGGGGGGCTGACGCTCATCTTCAGTAACCGAAACTAGTTGCTGATATGAAGTGAGAATAATCCAGATTCTAGGATGAAAACCTATTATTTCATATATTAAGAGGCATCTTTCAGTGAAAATGCAAATGACACAGGTTGCTGAAGAGAAAGTCTTGTATTTATTGACTTTGTATTTTATTGACATGTTATGCAATGACATACTTACATGTCTTAAAATCCTTTTGTTCTGATTACATTTCAAGATTCTTAAATGAAATTTTCTCTATGAATATTTTTAGATCGTGGTAATGAAAGACTTTCTCATATTAACAATTTCTAATATTTTACTTACTACTTTCGCAGAGGCATTCTTTAGGCTGTACTGTATATGGGACATTTTTTGCTATTCTTAATAGAAAAAATGACCAGCATAAACTTAAACAGATTTTTCAGTGAATCACTCACATTCTTGTCAGCGGTTCTCCGGAAAATCTATTTCTCTTTCATCTCAATTAGTTTTATATCTCAAAGTATGTAGTACCAAGAAAGTATATCTGTGGTTGAACCTATTCCTTGCCATGAGTTTGATCACATGCTTGCTGGTGACATTATGTTTTTTTATAACTCATGTACTGTACGGCGAATCATTTACTCATTTTTACTTTATTTTGGTGCATTGTTTTTCTTTTTAATAAGTATAGCTGACAATTCATTTGCATGTTTTGCCATTTTTTATATATTTACTTGAATATCAGTTTCATCCGCTTATATCATCAAACCTATTCAAAAATTAGTTAAATTCGAATTTCTACACAGTTTTATTTGTTTCATGACAAATACTATGAATTTTCAAGTATTTGACCCTTGCAGTAATGAGCTATAAAAGTTATTTTCTTTCTAACAAATCGGAAAAAACTGTAAATGACACTGCGTTCTTTGATAACGATAAGGCTACAAATATGATCAATGTTGTGAAATTTCCAACTGAAGATGGTGACATAACGTCTCTTGCAGATACCGACGAAAATAAGCACAAAGAAGATATATCACTTGAGATGTCCTAGGAGCGATAAAGCTTCATGATCCTGAAGAAACAATAACTAAGGCAATTTTACTGAAAATACAAATCTTGAGGACCTTCCATTGAAAAAAAAAAATAGGAATACTAAACCCATTGCAAAGTGATTCTTTCTATGAAAAATGATGTCTAATACAGACATTAAACATACTATTCATTATTTTTGTGATTTATCATTAGTCTGAAAAATTATTAATTCTTTCAGTTACGTTTTCGGAAACATGCTGTTAACAGACAAAAGTTCATTTTTTATGCGGAATAAAAATTTCCCTAGTTTAGAAACGAAAACTGATTTAATAAATAGGCATCTAGTGATCACTAATGAGTAAACCGTTGAAACAGAATGGACTGGTTTTATATATGTGTTTGCCAATAAGTTCTTCACTGACGCGTCTGCCACACAGTACTGAAGTTAAAAATTTTTACTTACTTAAAAAATCAATAATCACATTAGCAAAGATCTGCACCCTCGTAGAAAAAAGAAGCTTTAAAGAAGATAATTGGTCAATAGATCTTAAGTTAAACTTTCACCCATGCAAACCAACCAGGTTTATTGAAAAATACTACTTATTAAGGATATCATTGCTTTTAAATGACAATCCCTTGGGAAGGAAATTAAATATTTAGGTGTTTTGTTGGACAGCAAATTAAACTGGAAAAAAGCATATTTACTACATTTCTAATAAATGTGAGAGACTTCAGCGTGGGCTGAATCGAATTGCATGTAATAATAGTATTTTGCAATGTAATAATATTTTGGTGTTAAATCGAATGTTAGCGCAATTATTTATAAACAAGGCATTGTATCCTTTATTTCATATGGATGTAGAGCTTGGGGATTGTCTCTAAAAAAGAAAATTAAACGCCTGCTTCGAGTTCAAAGACGAATTTTGCTGCGAGTTATAAGGGGATACCAAACTATTAGTTACAATGCTGTTTTCTCTCTTGCCGGATTTCCACCACTGGATTTGTTTATTCTGACCTTTATAGATTACAAGAATAGTCTTGCAAACTACTCCAGTTCTCATTTTGATCGCTTATTGTCTTTGTCTGTTCTTCCACATCCTTCTGTAAGACAACCAGTACAGATTCTGGATAGTATGGACACTGATGTAAAATCATTCTCACTTGTGTTGTATACGGATGGTAGTAGGATTGATGATAAAGTTGGTTTTGCTTATGTTATTTTTGAAGATGATATTGAAATTGAGTGTCATCAATTTCGCATTAGAAATGAATGTACTGTATATATTTCTGAGCTTCTGTGTATTAGTTTTGCAGTTAAGTGGATAATTTGCCAGGATGGACGTTGTTCCAGCTACTTAAATCTGTACGGATTCACTCTCTTCTCTGGAATCCCTTAAAAATATCTCTTTATGTAATGATATTATAGTTAATATACAGCAGTTTCTCGGAGATCTAGAGAAGAAGGGTATTTCAGTGTTTTTTACATTTGTCCGTGGTCATTCGGGTAATTATGGGAACGAGAGAGCTGATTGGCTTGCTAAGAATGCAACTAAAATGATATTAATGTTTGTAATATTCCAAAATCTTACTTAAAAAACATTCAAAGTTAAAATGATTGAGCAGTGGAACTGTGATTATATCTCTTTGATAAGGTATCTGTTACAAAAACATTCTTCCCAACTATTTTTGAAAGACTGAAAAGTAAGGACTTGTTGCTCAGTTTTAAAGTAACGCAATTTTTGTCTGGACATGGTAAGTTTAATGTTTATCTTGAACGAGTTAAGCTGACATTTTGCAATTTATGTTATTGCAATCTTAGCGTTCAGCAAAGTGTTTTCCACCTGCTTTTTGACTGCCCATTGCTTGATAAAGCAAGAAATCTACTGAAATGCAGATTAAAATTAATTGGAATTCATTGGTCGCCGAAATGCTAATTTGTGTCTTCAGCTTCGGCCTACCGAGCTTTCAACGATTTTGTTGACTTTTATTTTAAACATTGTATATGATTTCTCTATACAATTTTATACTTATGTATTTACTTTTTTTTTGTGTTTTTTCTTTGTGTATGATTTCATTGTATTATTGAAAACTGCTGTTATTACTTACAATTTTGCCTTTTTTACTTACGATTTGTAAGTCTCGTGTGATACTTTGTGGTGCACGAGGATTTCTTTTCC